ATTTTGATTGTATTTTACACTTGTTTTTTTTATTATATTTAGTTTTACTGTGATTTCTTTGCCAAACCATTCCTGTATTTATTTTAAATTTGAGGATGTTTAGCAAACATTTTGTTTTCTAGAGAAATTAATATATTTTATAAGTAATGTAAGACAGTTTAATTTAGTGTTAAATATAAGTTATAAATTTTAATTTAAAAATATTTTATTTTGTATCAAACTGACACTGTGTGTTAACGTATGTTAAAAATCACTTTTATTTTTCATTGTGGAAAAAATATATAAAAAACTATTGGCACGATGTTATTTTTTGTTAGATTATGAAGAAAATTAAAATATAGATTATCATATAAGCAGTTTCTTTTCTAAACCGCTACCCAAATAAAACAACAACGTTATTAATAGTGACATATAATTGCCGCTCGCTATCCAATCAATCCAGACTTGTAGAACTGGAAAAAGAAACAAAAAACATAAAATGGGACGTAATAGGTATCAGCAAAGTAAAGGCGGAGTCCCATGCATCCGATTTCCGAAGACACGATGATCCGAAAGTATTTTCATTGGTCAGAATCGAATCAGAATATTTTCGCGCCGAATTTCATCCGAAACTTTTAACTACGCTTCCGACATCGGATAAAGATAAAATTATTTTAACTTTTTCCGACAAAACGGATGTTTTGTAACCTAATTGTATTCCAATAGTTTAACATCTACAGTGGTGAGTGCTTTATCGCCCGGCCTTTTAACGTAAGAGATAGAAAACACAGTTACCTTGTGAAATAAAAAGAGATGAAACTAGTAAAGGTGGGAAATAATCGATAGAAACCTATAATTTACATTACATTACATTACCACCGTCGATAGTCTCACACCTTTAGCCGTTATTATAGTATTAGAAGTGTTTAAAGTCGCTTTAAAACTCGGCAAAATAGCGGAAAGGATAGAAGATGGATTTTGTGAGAAAGAATGAGATAAAGCTAGTTCTTAGACGTGGCTATTTGACTTCAGTCATAATTATACGGATGACCGCGAAAATATTTTATTTTAATATTTTCTGATGTAAGAATAAATGATTGAATAAATTAAGAATTAAAGTAAAAAACATTAATTAGTAGCGATTTTAAATTATAAATCTTTAAGTTTATTTAATAATAAAAATAACTCAACTGAAATATTTGACTAAACTAAAGGTAGGTATGTTCTGTCCGATACTATTTATTGTATGTGGAGTTGGTGTAATTATTAGACACGTAGTCTATTGACAAGAAGATTGGGGTTCAATTCCCACCAAGGATAAAATTTTTGTTTTACTCAATCAAAAAATAATAGAAAATATTATACATATTAGGTAACAAGTTTTCGAAAAACTCATTATTTATAATTTATTCTTATTCCAATATTATAAAACAGAAATACAAAATAATTCAAATTCAAAAATATATTTATGTGTAACTTTAAACACTTCTAATACTAGTAACGACTGACATAAATGTTTAGTGATTCAAATCAAAACGATCTCTACATAATTTCAAATTATTAAAAAAAAAAAAAGAAAACCACATATGGGTTTTGAACTCTAATCGTCTGCGTCGCAGTGTCGAATTCTTACCACTAATCCACGAAGGACTGATGTTTATTTCCGTGACAAGAGTGTATGAAACTCCTCAAATCATAGAAATTATTTTTGGTTAATAATTTAAAATTTTAGATTAAATAATCACTATTAATTAATTTATTTTATTCACATTTTTGCTTTATTGTGGTCAATCATTTTTTACTTTATGCGAAATTAAAAAATGTCACTGAAATATGTTACACATAAGATATCACAAATAATAATTATGACCGAGGTGATTTAGCTGGAAGCTAACGTCTAAAGGTGTGAGACTATCGATAGTGTTAATGCAATGTAATGTAAATTATAGGTTTCTATCGATTATTTCCCACCTCTACGAGTTTCATCTCTTTTTATTTCACAAGGTAACTGTGTTTTCTATCTCTTACGTTAAAAAGCCGGTTGATAAAGCACTCACCACTGTATACATTTAATTTATTGAAACATTAATTTTAATCGAAGAAGCTATGTTCGCAAAGTTAATAAAACGGTATTTTATGTCTGCTTCTTTTAATTCGCAAAAAAAACAAAACGTACAATACGTCAAAGAAAATATTGGGTTAGTTAAATATTTTAGTAAAAAAGTCACAAAGAGCTTTTAATAATCTATTGCATTCTTGCAGGAAAAGCTAAATGATGTTGATAAATATTTGCAATTACCTTAGAATTCGTAATTGAACATTTCATAAGTTACATAGTTTCTTCTACGTTATCCATAATAAACTGAGTAATTGAAAGCAGGAGAAGGGATTATATACCATGCAGAAATAATCCCTTCTGCTGTTTTACTATGCAAAAGTGGTAAAACAGCAATTACCAGCCAAACCACCAAACATACGATACATGGGACTCCGCCTTAAGATGGAAAAATGAAGAGCTATTGGAATTAGCGTCAGGAAACGCATTCTACTACCAAGGCACATCAACGTGCAGGACAGGCGGTATTGGATTCCTAATCAACAAGAAATGGAATCGAAGAATAGTAGAAATAACTAGTATCTCGGAAAGAGTAACCAGCTTAATCTTACAACTAACAAAGAGATACAATATACATATATACGCCCTAACAATTACTCACACTGACGAAGAAATAAAGGAACTCTACAGTAATATAAATAAAGCATTAAATAACAATAAAAGTCATATCAAGTATTTAATTGGTGACTGTAATGCCGAAGTGGGAAAGAGAAACGACAAGGAACAAGTCGTGGGAAAGTAATAGACTGGGAGGGGAGAAAAACTAGTTCAGTTTGCACAATACCAAAACATGCCAATTGTAAATACATTCTTTAAGAAAACATCGAACAGAAAATGGACTTGGGTAACACCAACTGGAATCACTAAGAACGAAATTGACTTCATTCTAATAAACTAGATTGCTACAATAAAAGATGTATCCAAGAGGCGTCAAGAGACCAAGAAAACATCCAAATTTAAGATGGAATCATGACATAAGGAAACAAGCCGGTACAACATGGAACAGAACAGCGAATTTTAGACAATCATGGTCAGAAATGAAGAATGAATATGTAAGGAAGGCTGCATCATAATCGGTAGAATATGCTGAGAATGATTATGATGATAAGCAGTTTCTTTAAAAATAATCAAAACGGAATTGATACGATTCTATCACTAAACGATTTCCCCCATAAATAATTAGTTGCAATAATCCTATAAGCCTGACTATGTCTTTGAAAGTATTTTTAGTTCATTATCAGATCATTATGGGAGTTCCTTTGTGTAAATTCATACAGGGTGAACTTTTGTGACAACACGTAATATATTTGTTACAGGAGATACCAAAAACGTTATTTACAAAAATAGGAGGCAACTGGAAGCTAACATTTTAAAATTTATATACAAATATATTCAATGATGGTTAGGCCTATCGATTCCTATGTATAACATGTTTTTACACAGATAATGTGTGGCACAAAAAAGTTAATCATTGGTGCTGTGTACTTTCCTCCACGGTCATCTGGGCCAGTATATGAGGAGCATTCCACCTGTATGTTTGACTTAGCGGATATATCAGTTATTGTGAATTCTGTATTTGTGGTGACTACAACCTCATCTTAATAATGGTCTTACAGTTGAGTGTCCGCATTACTCTCCAGCAAATATTATATGTACTTGCTACATTTTTCAAAATATGTCACAAGTAAATGCTTTGCCTAACCGTAATAATAAATTTTTAAATCTAGTTTTCTCTTTCTAGTTTTTTCAGCTTATATATTGTTACATGCAGCCAATTTAATTTTTCATGATGTATTTTATCATGATTTTAAAAAATGTGATTATCAAGTTTTAAATGAATATTTAGCCCCAATTATCTTGGAAGAAGGTATTAGATGAATCAGATATTAATTGCTGCATAGAAAATTTTTACCATATTTTATATGGTGTCATCAATATGTTTGTTCCTATCAAACAGTTTAAATCATTTAACTTTCCAGTTTGATTTTCGCGAGAATTAATTGAGCTTGTTATACAGAAAAAAATAGAGATTAGAGATTTGGGTGTATTATTGGATTGTGCATTGACATGTAGAAGCTATTTTCTTAACACTAAGGAAACATGATTTCACAATCTTGGTTTTATTTATGAACAGAACAGACATGATCTCTTACCTATTGTATTCAAATTATTGTATTGCTCTCTGGTACACTCAGGTCTTGAATACTGCTCTGTTGTTTGGTCCCCATTTCATCAAGTCTACATTATTGGTCTGGAGAGCGTTCAGCAGAAGTTTTTAGGATCTTAAGCTTTTAAAGCACATATTAATATAAGAAATACTGAAAACTATTTCATAGATTATTCTGTAATAATGTCTCAATTTAACATTGCTATACTGAAGAACTGCAGGTTCAGAGCTGATATGTTATTTTTGTTTAAAATTCTAAACAACGGTATTAATTGTCCCGTTATTAGCCAATGTGTACTTAAACACAATACATAGAACTCAACACACTGCACTCTTTTATATTCCTTTTCATAGGACTGATTATGCTCATTTTCCCTTGTCGAGAATGCTCAGCTCTTGCAATGATCTCCTCTTGGATCCAAGACTTGCTAATTTCTTATATGGTATAAATACAGTAAAATAAAAAAACATTTTTTTTGTAGTAGAATAAAAGGTCTTTACAGAGTCTAGAGATACAGAATGCCTCCCAGAGTATAAGGTACTCTAGGAGAGGACATGAAGGATTGTCCCTTGGCTTGAAACTCAACCAAATATTTATCGACCTGTCCATTGACTAATGTTACACAGCTGGGACAGTTGCTTTCTTCCAACCCAGCATTTTCCTTAGATTTTGTCCTGAATGATCATGCCTGCATGCATAATAAGATGAAAATAGGAAACTTGTACAAAATAATTAGACATTATTAATATATTATTTTATTAAAAATGTTCATTAACTAACAAATAAATATTTACAAAACCATTATGGCTAAAATATATTATAACAAATTATTTTCTACTCTTAGAAGGACCTCCCAAGTCTTCTAATTCTTGTTTAAGAGTGTTTAGTTCTGCATCAGGAATATATCTAATTTCCTCATCAGCTTCTTCATGCTGTCTAAAATGGGCTGTTACACCTGCAGGTAAACTTGCTTCTACAGCTCTAATGACTATTGGAAGCTTAAAATATAAGAGTGTATTAATGGAATTTAATGCAATGCTGAATTAATGTAATGTAAGTTACATACACTTGCCACAAATTGCATAAATCACAATTTGATCATAAAAATTGTCTATTTATCTTTCACTTTTCATGAATTATTGAATAAAATACAGTTTAAAACAAAGTTGAAACTAGCTACTATTTCAATAGCTAGTTTCAACTACTTTTTAAAATGTATTTGCCACATTTTTAGAAATTTAACTGTCAAAATTTTACCTTTTTATGTCATTTTAATATTGTTATAGTTTAATATTGTTGTTTAATAATTGTTTTTATGTCATTTTAGTATTGTTTAATATTGTAATATACAAGCTATGCGAAGAAAGAATACAAGACACACAGTTTGGATTCATGAAGGGCGTAGGTACAAGAGATGCACTGTTTAGTCTACAGGTATTATTTCAAAGATGCAGAGATATGAAATGTGATATTTACACCTGCTTTGTGGACTACCAAAAAGCATTTGATACAGTTCAACACCAAAAAATGATGGATATTCTAACAAAAGCATAAATGGATGATAAAGATCGGCGTATAATACAAAATTTATACTGGAACCAATCAGCCACAATAAGAACGAATTTTGGAGGTGAACCAACGGAAATGATCCAGATTCTACGAGGCGTTAGACAAGGTTGTATACTTTCACCTATATTATTTAATCTATATTCAGAGGAAATATTTAGTGAAGCCTTGGAAAAATGCGAACATGGAATACTTCTAAATGGAGAACACCTAAACAACATCCGTTATGCAGATGACACCGTTATTTTTGCAGACAGTTTGAACAGTTTACAGCAACTAATAAACAAAGTAAATGAAGTAAGTGAAAGATTTGGACTTCAAGTAAATATAACAAAAACTAAATTTATGATCATCAGCAAAAATAAAGTTAGAGACGCTCAACTACTTATCAATAATACACCAGTGGACCGAGTAAAACAGTATAACTATCTTGGAACAACAGTAAATGAACAATGGGATCACTCACAGGAAATAAAATGTAGAATAGAGAAGGCTAGGAGTGCATTCAATAACATGGCCAAACTCTTTAAAAGCCACAATCTTAATCTGGAGATAAAAGTGAGGCTCCTACGATGTTATATCTTCTCAATATTGTATTACGGAGTTGAATCCTGGACACTAACTAAAGCAATGGAGAAAAAACTTGAAGCCTTCGAGATGTGGCTATACAGGCGAATTCTAAGGATATCATGGACAGACAAGATAACCAACGAGACCGTATTACTGAGAGTGGGCAAAGAAAGAGAGGTGATGTATACCATTAAAAAGAGAAAGTTGGAATATCTCGGACATATAATGAGAAACAGCACTAAATACAGATTACTGAAGGTAATCCTACAGGGTAAAGTATTCGGAAAGCGAGGAATTGGGAGAAGGAGAATATCATGGTTGAAGAACCTGAGGAAATGGTTCTCCACAACAACAACAAATCTATTTAAAGCATCAGTCAATAAAATAATTATAGCCAGAATGATTGCCAATATTCGGAACGAACAGGCACTGAAAGAAGAAGAATATTGTTCCGAAGCTATTTTCTTGTGGCATTTCAAAGTAATTACTATTTAAATGGGAATAAGCCACAATTAAAGGTTAAATTATGTTTATTGACATTTTAATTTCCACTTCGGAAATCATTCTCAAAATACAAATATGTATTTTAAAAATGTGCAATCAGGTTTAAAGAAACCTGATGCATATTTAAAAGATAAAACACTGTATCAAATCCTTGAGTAACTTACAAGAACTTTTAAACTGCAGCATTTATTTCTTCTATCTATATTATTTTTTACTTCTTGTATTTTGTATATTTTTTAGTATATTTGTGTTAACTGTGTGTTTGACATATTGTTTAAAATCAACTTGAATTTTTAAAATTACCTGAATTGATGATACATCTGTTATTTGAATAACTCTCTCATATGTTTTAAGATTATATTGAGCATGCACAATCTCACTCTTTGGTTTGAGAGTAGTGATGTTCATATGTTGTGCAGGAACTGCCCAACTATCTTCAACATCAACGTCCATATTTTTCAACATGTTATGAACAAATTTTTGATAATGCTCTAGCACAGGGTAATCATAACCTCTTAGCTGAATATTTACTGCATCATATAAAGGGATTTTTGATTGCATCGCCTAGAAAATAAAAAAGTGAAACAGTAGACTAGCACGAACTTTCATACTATGTTTTCTGCATATTTTAAACAAATTAATTGTTTGCTCCTAACGCCACCTATCAACATATTAACAAAACATACATTGTCTACTTCTAACATACCTGTCAAATTCAGACCAAATATTAAATTAATTATAAAATATAAATAATTATCATTTGATAGTAAAGTTAATTATTATAAAAAGTAAATAATATATTTAAAATAATAATTGCATTAATATAAATTATTTCAAAACGAGAAATATAAAAATTTACAAATGATTCAATGTTGTTATTAATTGGATGACATTTATGACTTTTAAATTTTGACAATTGTTATAAATCAAATCTTTTAGTGACAGATATTCTTTTAATTTTTTAATTCTCATTTAATGTCTATATTTTATTAATTATTTTTCATGTAATTTTTAATTTAAACCTGCTTCAAGTAAATATATGAACTATACTACATTCCATGTTTAGAAAATAACATTGCGGAGATAGGGCCATGTATTTCTTAAGGACAATAACAACGCGGCGTTGCCACGACACTCACAAGCACAATTTAGGGTTGTATAATTTGTATTTTTGTTTCCACAAACATGAATTAAATTAATGTTTTTTAACGTAATTGACCAAAAGTGCCCATTCAAAACAAGAGATGAAAAGTAGGGAAAATGATTTTAATTAGATAAATAGTATTTACAAAAGATAATTTTATTTTATCTTATTTTAATTATAGTAACGACAGTTTATTTGTTTTTCGGTGAGAATACGATATGCCATGAATCATAGAAATCAGTAGAAAATATTGACCGCTTGGAATGCGTATATCTAATTACTAATTGCAACTTAAAATAATACGATGTGCGTATGTCAGCTATTTTATGTTGTTCTCTGACTACATAATGATAATAAGGCTTTTATTTAGTAGATATTCTGACTTTACAGTTAAATGTTAATTGAAAATGAAAATTCAAAAATTAAGCAAAGGGAATATCTTGGACATCCGTGCAAAAGAGAGTGTCTGAGAGTTTTGGCAACACTGATCTCCATAAGCGTAATGTTATTTTCTTAACTTGAAACAAAGAATAGAAATGAATTGATGTAGAGTAGTTAATCAATGTAAAGAACAGCTCTTTTTTAAATATGTTGTATTTTGAGAGGTAGGGCTGAAGTACTGAGGAACAAATGCAAGAATTAGGTGAGAGTCATAAGAAGCTTCATTAGTGGACATGCACCAGTTAAAATATACCTGCATACAATGAGGTTGTTTGGTAAGCTGGAGAACCTGTGGTAAAACTTGAAACAGTCAACCATCTTTTGCTCGTTTGTGAGGCACTAGATCTTAGCCGGCCAGTACTTTTGGGGATAAGTAATAGAAGACTTCGAGTAAAACTAATACAATTTAGTAGAATTAACATCTATTCTTAAACATCAGAATAAACGAATACTTACATCTAAAAAGAATTGCAAGGAGACGAAAATAAACTTAATAATATCAGGAAATCTTTAAGATACCAAGTGGATCAAGAGAAGAATATTTTTATATAACTTATAACATATTTATGTACCTGTAAATAACTTGGTTCATAAAGCCCTCCGCTTTCGCATCTTAGACGAATATTTTTTGCATTTATTAAGACTTTTTCCAGCCTATGCAGTTGCCTCAAATTTTGCATATTGTCTTTGATATTTAAATGAAATAATTCAACAAAATATATTAAAAACCTATTAACTGACAAGGTACTAGATTGTGGTTATGTTATTGATACCGTTGCTGTCACCGTTCTTCTTCTTTTATTTAATCTAGAACTAGATCGATGATCCTAATCATCTAAACTAGTGATCATAATTCATAAAAGCCAATGAACCACAGATTCAATGAACTGAGGACTGAGTACACACAGTACACAGCCATCTAGTAAGTGTAGTAAGGTCAATGACGTATAATATATAGACTACGCAGTCCCCTATTCTCGCTATAGAATCGAGTGTCCAAAAGATCTCGGCTCAAGGTTGAAGGTATGTTTATCACAACAGCGGCGTGCTCATTTATATGTTAATGACAATAAATATTTTTTTAATTAAAATTAAATATTTATGATTTCTTTTTGTTCCCGTCTATAAGAGAACTAATTATATTGATAAAATAGTATGGCATTTTACTAAAATAGTAAGTAAATAACTCTCAACAATTTAAAATAAAATTTGCTTGTCACACAAAATGCAGAAAATGTTTTCATACGTCCATGATGTTTTCAAACACAAGATCAACTTCGTGATGCTTCGTAAGAAATCATGAACTTCGTGCATCTTCGTATCAAAACAATAAACAATAACAAAGGTATTCATGTTTTGGACACTTTTTAAAGCGTTCACTGAGTCTATATATTATACGTCATTGAGTAAGGTATTATAAGTCCCATAGAAAGATTTGTGAGAGAGTTTCTAGCGCCAAATGCGGACGGGCCAAAACTAATTGCATTTAAGGGCAAATTCAAAAGGTGGGTTCTAATACGTCATTGGTTCTAAAATTTATTCCTCAAATTAAAAAAATATGCTCTGAATTTTACGCGCCAAAATTCAAAAAGTATGTTTTTAATAGAAAATAAATATAGCCATAAAATAAGAAATAAAAACTTATTATTAAATGTCTAGGAATCGGTACTGAGAGTTGTATCGTAATGAGCTTTGAAGCAGTTGGTGCAGTTACAGAAATCAAAAAGGTCGTGACAAATGCAGTTAGATGTTCTTGCTGAATGATATTTTAAACAACTCCCTTTCAACTTCTATTAATGTATCCTCAGAAACACAATGGGAACAATGAAGTCAGTAATATAATTTTTTAACGTGTCAGCTAATAGAAATGAAGTTTTAAAACTGAAACTCAGGCAAAATTTGATAAGTTTCTGCGAAACAAGATAAGTTGAGCGCCATGAAAGCGTAATCCAGATCAAATATGTCATTTTACGTATGATTGAAGTACTAACATTTATCTCAACATCGAAGTATCCCAAGACTGCTATACTTACATCAACTTTGCTTAATTCTTTATGTATATCTGAGCATGATACTATGAATAACAAGATAGGATCTTCCCGTAGCTCAAAATCGGTCGGGTTCGCGCATGCCGTAATTGGAGACTAGAATTTGAATTCTTGTTAAAGTTAAATGAGATTTGTATGCATTCTGTGATGAAATTACTAGACGAAAATAAGTTAAGAGGTTTAATAATTACAATAATCGTACACATAAGGATATCTCCAAACTATTTATTAAAGATTATTTATTGATATATACAAAAACTGACATTTCAAAGTCTCCAATGACGTCACAAAAACATGCGCAATATCTTATCTTATAGTCATAGTATCATGTATCTGAGTTTCTAATGTCAATGATGTCACTGATTGACATACTAAAATAAACATTGCCATTAATATTCTTTATTATTATTTTTTAGTCAGTGTGGCTACACCAGAGAGGTCCTTCTCTTCTCTACGTCTACGTTAGGAAGAGTCAATGACGTATAATATATAGACTACGCAGTCCCCTATTCTCGCGTCCGAAAGATCTCGGCTCAAGGTTGAAGGTATGTTTATCACAACAGCGGCGTGCTCATTTATATGTTAATGACAATAATTATTTTTTTAATTAAAATTAAATATTTATGATTTCTTTTTGTCAAGTCTATAAGAGAAATAATTATTTTGATAAAATAGTATGGCATTTTACTAAAATAGTAAGTAAATAACTCTCAACAATTTAAAATAAAATTTGCTTGTCACACAAAATGGAGAAAATGTTTTCATACGTCCATGATGTTTTAAACACAAGATCAACTTCGTGATGCTTCGTAAGAAATCATGAACTTCGTGCATCTTCGTATCAAAACAATAAACAATAACAAAGGTATTCATGTTTTGGACACTTTTTAAAGCGTTCACCGAGTCTATAAATTATACGTCATTGGGAAGAGTGAAGACTTGGCTGAGGGCAAGGATGGGGAAACCCGACTCACGAATCTTTGCCTACTTTATGTTTACCGAGACATTGAAATAGACACTGAAAAAGTAATGGAGCGATTTGCACATGAGCGAGACGACTCGATGTTGTTGTATGAGGTTTAGTGTACAAGAATAATTTTTGTACTAGACAAATAAAGTAACTTAACAATATTATTCGCCTTTTCTTTATGCTATTTTAATTTCATAAACTAAAATACATTTATTTCTTCGTAATTGGACGTTATGAGCTTTAGGTTCAAATTTGCTGATTTTTCGTTGTTAGACAAATAAAAATACTCTTATATCGATAGGATTTAAATGTCTTTATGGCACTCAAAAGTGTGAAAAGTGCTTTAAAACTCACCCTTTTAACCGTAATTTTTAAAAATTTTCCCCAAGACTCCCGGTATCCCTCCAAAAAAATCCCGCTCTAGAAAAAAACTGAAGTGGTATAAAAAAGTTGCTTTTGTATTAATTTTTGGGACAGCTTCATACATTAGTATGGGACTACTATTTCTTATGTTTTTTCTGATAATTTACAGTTTACAGGTCAATATACAATGAACCAAGAATTTATGAACTTCATATTCTTCATGGTGTAAGCAAGGTTTTTGTATAAGACAAATTGGCTAAACCGTACCTGTGCCTTCTAACCGTATCCCAGTGCAGCCAAAATCAAGAAAATTTAATTGCGTTCTTATTTTACTTGAACCAAAAATAAACATCCACATACTATGATGATGTCATGTTGCCTACTGTCAAAAATTTGTCATTCTTGTTTTTTCTCCTAGTTGTAAACACAAGCGAGTACGTATAGCCAATAGGCATGAAATTTGTAGGAAGTTTATAAAAATTTCTGATTTTTTTAAATTTCAACTACATATGAACGTTATGAATTATATTTGAATTAAGTTAGTTAAGTAAAGGTATGTTTTTAAAATAGATTTCTCTCAAAATATGATAACATTTTTGAATTTTTTCAGTTACAATTCCAACTGTTCAAAAATTAACACAAGTTTAACCAATATGAATGATGGACAACAAATCAACACTATTTATTACGGTGTATACACTCCAAATGATAACAGAGAATATAATGGAGCGCCCAATGTATTTAACGATAAAAATGAAGCTTTAAAAGTCGCCAAAAAGAACAAAAAGTCCCGATTTAAGGCCTTCAGTTTTTATCATGAAGCTGTCGAGTTTGCTTTGAATGGATCAGAATTTCCTAATAATAACATTATTTTAAATAGTGCAAATGCTTTTGGAGAAAAGGCTAGTCCTTTCAAGGGACCAAAACCACAAGAAATCACTGAACTTCGAAAAGCTATTGAAAACGGCAACTATAAATTAGTAAAGGATACTATATGGCAGAATCCAAGATATTTAGTTAGCAGTGGTGATACTCCAGCTATATATCAGGTGCAGTATACAGATCTATATGTTACTACCTTTGAACCCATTCTAAAGTTTGAAAATTTTCAACATAACTGTTGACATACGATCATATGTTCGCAAGTAGCAATATCCCAGTATGTAGTGAAATAGTGGTTCCCTAAATTTTTAAATATTATTGAACAATAATTAAACAACTACTAAATTCTCTGTTGCTTTGACTGGTATAATCAGTTGTTTTTACAAGAGTGGTTTGTGTTCTCTTATTAGTGTGTTCAGGTTATCCAATAATTATTTAAAACATTTTAAAATGTCATATAATTGCAATCAGACCACCAAGCTAACATTTAGTCTGCATAATGTACTAATCTGTAAGAAACTTTGTGTTTTTTGAGATATCATATTTTGCGAAGTAGAAATATTCCAATAAGTACTTGATGTAGCCAGACTTCTTAGATTTTTATGTTTTACTTATAAAATAAGACAGAAATAGTGTTGACCTAAATTCTCAGTGGATTTGACTGGTATAATCACTTACTTATTACCCAAATTATGAGTTAGTATGAGCTAATTGTTTGAGTTTTGATGAATTGTTCATCACTATTAACTTATGCTTTATGATTATTCCATCTATCCAATGGAACTACAGGCCAAATCGGACCTGGGCCTCCTTGAACAAGCTTCTCCAATAATTTCGATTTGCCGCTGTTCTTTTCCATGAACGCGTTTCTAGGCAATTCCTGGCATCCTCATCGACTTCATCTTCCCATCTCTGTTTAGGTCTTCCAACAGGTCTTTTTTAATGTAATCCTGCATTTAGTAATTTTCTGGGGATTCTATTTAAATGCATGTGGACCAGGTGCCCTGCCCACCGTAATTTCTGTAGTTTATTGTATTGTGCTAGAGTTGGTTCACTATATTACTCATATATTTCTCTATTATACCTAATTCGCCAGTTGTTGTTTTCACTTATTGGGCCCAGTATCGTATGTAATATTTTTCTTTTAAACACATCTAATACATTGGCAGATTTCTGTGTCACCAGCCATGTTTCACAACCATAACTTACTATGGGCCTGATTATTGTTTTATAGACCCAGAGTTTTGTTTTCCTGTGTATACCACTTTATGATTATTGGTAACTATAAACTTTTTGAAAAAAACAGCCTTGGAGATTTAAACTAAATCATTTTCCTCCTTCCTCCTAAATGTAAAAACTAAAATGTCTCCTGTTTTCTAAGATTTGTAATCTAGTAAACAATTTGTAATCATTTATCATGTTTTTTTTTTATTTTAGCCTGATATCAGTTTTTTAAATCTAGAATTACTTTAATGATCTCTATTATGTTTTGCTTTGTCAAATCAGTTATGTTGCCCATCTCATTTTTAATTTTTGTTATCTATTTGATGATAAATTTAACTTTGGGAATATAACCTCTTATTTTTCCTGTAAGCTGTCTGTTATATGCAGGTTGTACTGCAGCTTATACATAAACTTTGCCCTTAATCCACCAATCCCAACTCTCACTACCAAAAAAGTGTTAAAAACCTTATAGTTATGAATATATTGGGAGCACAAGATATGCAGCGGTTTTAATAAGAGAATAAATCACATATTTAATCCATGCTTTAAACTTATGTCCAGTTTTTGGTACCACATAGTTTTTTTAGCTGCTGGACTTCATAATCATTTATTTTATTTAGTTTGGTAGCTAATGGTGTCTACAGTTATGATGTGATTGATGATGGACACATTGATGTGAAATATTTAGTGTCTCAGATAGTTTTAGTCCAATTCAATTGTGTGATAACATTATGTCATAAACTACGTAGATATTTACAGGGGTGTAGCTATGTTCCTCCCTCCTTTTTACATCTTTATACCATTCTCTTCGTCTTTGTTTACCCCATTGCTTTACATCTTGTATGCTGCATTTTTTCCTGATAATGTTTCTTATTCTGTCCTTTCTTGTTTTTTTTTCTGATGATATTTCTTATTCTGCCCCTTCTTGCTTTTTCTAATATTTCACCAAGTATCTTCATTTCACTTATACATAGCATATTTTTGAAAACGTTCTGAAACCACTTTCATGTGGCATGTCTAATTTAAGTTAAATTTACATTTTTAAGTAACTAAAGTTTAACATTTTGATTTCCATAGGTTATAATCACTTACAAATGATATATGATTAATTTTTTGACATCAAAATTGAAATTATTCAAGCTTTGCATAAAATAATCCCTACTTCAAGTACAAAACAATTGAAAAAAATTAGAACTTTCCAATCCATTTGTATTATTTGCAAGTCCAAATTCCTGACCTCTTTCCTTCAAATTTTAAAAGTCCCCCTCCCTGGTTAATCCTGATTCTCGAAATCAATACAACACTACTCCAATATCACAAATCAGAGACATCACACAATGTAATCTGACATCCTTTTTTAAAGGAACTTGAGACTTGCAGGAAAAGTTTTTGCCTTTATACAGATGCCTCCCATTCAGAAAACAGCATAAGAGCAGCATTTGTCACTCCACATTCTTCTTCCCAAATTAAATTAATTTCAGCCATCTTTATGTAGCGTTCGTGGCATAAAAAATTGGTACAACTCTTATAACCGAAAATCGTGTTTTTCAATCTGTGTAAGTTGATCTTGTCACAAATATCATTCTTATTTTTAGGGCAACGTTGCCAGAATAACGAATATATTATATCAAACCGGTTAAAAGTAGGATCAAATATTTACAGTCAAGCAGGTCTTGAGCAAATCGTGGGAACACGACATTGATGTTCACAACGTGTTTGTAGACTTCAAACAGGCATACGATTCAGTCAAAAGGGACAGACTATACTATATATTGGCAGAATTAGCAATACCACATAAGCTAATTAGACTCATTAAAGCCACAATGGATGAAACTCAGGCATGTGTACGAATACAAAACAACCGGACAGACTTTTTCAAAATCTCGCAGGGACTAAAGCAGGGAGATGGGCTGGCACCAACATTGTTTAACTTGGCACTGGAGTATGCGGTCAGGCAAATGCAAACTGGACGAGAAAACCTACTGACCAATAAAACGGTTCAACTGGCTGCCTACGCCGATGATATTAATATTATGAGTAGAACATCAACAGGAGCACAGGAAGCATACGCAGAGTTAAAAACACAAACGAAAAGGCTAGGTCTGGAAATTAACACAGAAAAAACAAAAATAATGGTACAGACGAGAAGAAATATAATCCCACAAAACATTATACATGAAGATGACATTGAAACGGTTGGAAAGTTTACATACCTGGGAGTAGAAATATATGCCGATGGAGCAGAGGATGGAGAAATACGAAAAAGGATAACGCAGGCAAACAAAGCTTATTTTGCCCTCTCCCATATATTTCGGTCTAAAAGTGTCCACCGAAATACAAAGCTAAGAATATATAAAACTTTAATTCGGCCAATAGCATGTTATGGCAGCGAAGCATGGGTCCTGAAAGAAACATCCAAAAACAAACTCGACACATTCGAAAGAAAAGTACTGAGGAGAATACTAGGACCTGTGAGGGAAAACGGAATCTTCAGAATTCGATATAACAACGAGCTCTATCAACTGTATAAGGAAACACCCCTGTCAAACTTCATTAGAATCCAAAGATTGCAATGGGCCGGACATGTGATACGAATGGGAGAGGATAGGCTACCAAAACGAGCACTGAACGCCAGAATGCAGGGAAAGAGACCAGTTGGAAAGCCAAGAAAGCGCTGGGAAGACACAGTAAGCAGCGACGCACAAGCACTTTTAGGAGTCCGTGTATGGAGAAGAGCAGCCACAGACAGACAAGGGTGGAGGCAAAAAATAAAGGAGGCCAAGGCTCATTTTGGGCTGTAGTGCCGTAGAAGAAGAAGGTTAAAAGTAGGGCTTGAATCGTATTTTATTATAATTTATGAAAATATTTCAATTCAAAAATAATGTTAGATAAAATATCTTGACATGATTTTAAATTATTATGTTTAATTTCAAATCGAGAGGTGTCATTCGTTTCTCGTAAAGTGTAGCACAAAACTGTATTGAGTTGTGGCATACTAGAATAAATAAAACACACTGGAAAAAATAAATTTTTAATTTGAAATTAATACAAAATAAATAACTTTTACAGTGAACAAGTTTGGAATTTAAACATATGTATTACAATTCGAAACTGCTGAAATATTGATATTTTGACATATATCTCCATTATTAAAAATTCTTCAAATATTTTGGACATTAACTCAACCGTCTCTCTGGTTATTAAATTTATTAGATACCGTCTTTTGTTGTTAATCATAAAAATAATATCTATCTAAACACTTTATACATTTTTGAACGTTATTTTTTTTTATTTAGATTTAGTGCAATTCCGTTATCTGTGATGGGAACAACGAATTGATTCATGAACCATTCTGTCCAGACGGAACACTGGTTTACGTTGGGAAAAAAAGTGTACCAATTTTATATGACGGGAAGTGTACACAGCAGAATTATATGCAATATTACAATCTCTCATTCACATCAAAAGTACAAACCATTCTTCTTCCGTCATTATCACAGATTCTTTAAACTCATTAACAACAATTGGTAAACTATACACTAAGAACCCTATAGCCTTACTTGTCCAGAAAGAACTTGCTGCCTTATAAGAATCTGGTTTCAGAAGTCAAATGATGTGGGTTCTATCTCACATTGGAATACAAAGAAATGAAAAAGCAGACTTCCCAGCAAGAGAAGCTACCAAAAACGATCATACTGTTAAATTATAAAAACTGGCAAAAATCGCGTCCCATTAATTATTTTTAACACCTTTATAAAACTGAGTTTATTCACGGCAAAATACAAAAACTGCATACGAAAGCTGCACTCTTTACCTTTATAGTGTATCTTTATTTTTGTCGAAGGACACTTGAATCAAAAGATATCGAATTTGTACCGTCTAGCTGATAACAATTTTATTGAACATTGATTTCGAGCACGTGACACATTCAAAATCGACGATC